CTCTGTGCCAGGAGCTCTAAGAATAAGGATGAACAGCAGATTCCCCTCCTTCTGAGCTCTCAGTCTGTGGGGGAGGTAAGGATCCACAGTAGCTGCCCTGCATGTACTGGTCTTAGGTGAAGGAGACACACTTTATTTAATGTACTCACTTGCCACCTTTTGGCTTATCTGCTCTGAGGCCCCTGGGGCTGGACTCGTCCCAGGTTAGGACAGGACTCTGATGCTACACTCAGGTTTGAGGAGCCTCAATCTAGCCTAAATTACAGAGGACACGTGCCAGGTCTCAATTTCCAAAGTGTGTCTCAGCAAACTTTCTTTGCTCGTCTCTGGTACCTGGAATGACTTGGATATTTCCAACACCCACCTCAACTCTTGGAAAAGAACCAAGTAACCTTAGCAAAGCTACTGCTAATAAAAATCCAGCCTTACTTCCGTCAGGCCACAACTCTGTGTTCACCTGACCCGGGCAGGATGAGGGGAAGGGGGGTTGGGGATTTCAGTGCTATTCCCTACCAGTGTGACAGAACCAGCCCCTGCCTGCACCACCTCGTGAGCCGAGGGCAGAGGCAGGTCGATTTCAGCAACCCCACCTCATTATCCTATTTTCTAAAAGTCTGAGTGAAGGGGGGGCGGGGCAGGAGGAGGGTGGTGTGTATTCAGCTGTTCCCGCGTCCCATCACAGTCACTGTCATGTCATCTCAGATCCAGGGAGAATACAGTTCTGAGAGGCCCACAGAGTGTTCAAATCCACAGCTTTAAAAGCCAAGCCTCCCACATTTTAGAAAGGTTTGCCCAGGCCAGTGATGTCCTGCCACAGGGCCGGTCATGGGGACCAACAGCCGACACTTAGCAGCAGAAAACAACAAAAAGACTCATACCTGCCCGCAGAGCTTTTGGAAAATGAGCTCAAATGAAAAGCCGCCCCTGTGGCCGGTGAACAGGATGGTAACAATTAGCTAATGGCCCAGCACAGGGACCACGCTGGGGGGGGGGGTGGGGGGGAGTGCCGGTAGGACGGACGACCAGGCGTTTACGTACTTACTCTTCTAACGACGAACGACTACTACTTCCTACGGTCGAAGGACTTAAC